CGTGTTGGAGCCTAGGGGAGGTGAATTGTGCTGCGAGCGCCGTGGCTAGCGCTTCCGTTTTCTCCCTAGGCTCCGTGATGGGGGCGGGAGCGTCCGGGCCTATGGACCAAATTTTCTTTTGCGAACCGTCCATTGCCAGAAGGTGCTCATTCCACCTTGCTTCCCTGAATTCCTTCAGAGCCTCCGACATTGTTCTCCGTGCTGCGTTGGCTTCCGCGCTGTCCACCTGGAGACCAGAAGCTCGTGCCCTGCGAGTTAACCGGTTCTTCCTGGTTATCAAGTCCTTAATGTTTCTCGGCAGACTCCATGATGTTGCGCGGGGAGGAGGTGTTGTGGAGACGTTCTGAGCTGCGGAGTTGATGTCCTCGGTAAGTTTAGACAGGCTGTTTCTAAATCCTGCACCATTCTAATAAGTGATATTGGTTGAGTGTTGCCAAGCAATCTTTTGTACTCTGTCCAGTTGGTAATACGTCTTGGGGTAGGGCCTGGGGCCTGCATGGGGCTGAAGCCTCAAACTTCGAGCACCACCGGGAGGTGGTCAGAAGTTAGCTCCTGAACGACCGAAATGTGCGTCGCCCTGGTCACATTTTTTGCGATAAACATGTCCAATATCGTTGGGTTCTCAAAAGCCCGGTGGTGATGTGTTGCTTCACCGGGTGGAATTAGAGTGGTGCCGTGCTGCTGGACCCTGTCGAAAAGGCAGGTGCCCCTGGAATTGCTGCACGTGGCGCCCCAGGTGGCGTGATGCGCATTGAAGTCCCCCCCCCCGATGATGCACGGGTGGGGGCCTTCTAGCAACTTATCCCAGTCCCCAGGTTCAGGGGGCTTTCCAGGAGACTAGTAAACCGAGTAGACCCCGACGGAGGCATCTTGCATCGGACGCAGACTGCCGAGGCCTCAGCCGCGACCATTGTTGGGGGCAGTATCACTTGGTGCTGGATGGACTTTCTCACCAGGATGAGCGTTCCACCTGCTGCTCCCGTGGTGCGATCGTTTCTATGGCAGACGTAGTTGGGTATTGTAAACCTCATGGCAGGTTTGAGGAATGTTCATATGTCAATGTTATGGTCATCTAGGAAGGTGCAGAACTCATCCTTCTTGTTCTTAAGGGAATTGGCGTTCCAGGAGGCAATTTTTATTGCTGATGGCCTAACCATTAGTTGGCGGGATACATGCGGTGATGGCGGCCATCATCTTCTCCTGGAACTGCGCCACAAATTGGGCAATTGTTGCATTCATAACGGCCGTGATGTCTTTGGGCGGCGTTTGGCTGTTATTTTGAGTGCCACATACAAACGTTGGCGGGGGAATAGGTTTTTTGCCTGTGGTTGCGGTGCGGGGGTTCTTTTAACTGGGCGCATAGGGCACCCTGAGGAGCTGGCTACGTGGTGCCCTGAACAGTTGTAACACTTCGCCGCCTCGGCAGGTTGGTTTCCGCAAGACCTGGAGCTGTGCGGCCCCGCGTATTTCACGCAGACTGGTGCTGCGCTGCACCTTTTGGCGGTGTGCCTTTTGGCGGTAGCCCGTGGCGAGAGACCGTTCGACTTCTTTGTAGATATGCTCACCCTCAAGTTCAGGATGCCTCTATATGGCCCTCTTCTTTCGGTACAGCTACCTGTACCACATCTTTTGCGACACCCTCTTTGGTCTTCCACCGCTGTACGTGCACCGGGTGGAAGCCCCGGGCCCGGAGTTCCTCCTCGAACTCTTCAGTGGAGATGTCGGGAACTACACCTCTGAATAGAACCCTCAGGTGACGTTCCTCCGGAGGGCAGAACGTATGATACGGAATGTTGTTGTCGTCCATAAAACGGGATATGTTCCTGTATTCCGTTTCGGAGTTAGGGTAGATAGTTACACCCTCTTTTTTGTCAGCAGCCTCTTCCTACCTGCTGGCTCGGTAGTAAAGTTATTCGAGACATCCGATATCGTGGACGGCATTTCGGCCTCTACAGCGTCCATTGGCTTGGATTCCGACGGAGATGGCGTCGGCTGCTGGTCGCTGCTCTCTGCCGTACCTGGATGCCCATCCTTTAGCATCCGGTTCTCTTCTAGAATCTCGGTGTAAGCACTCTGCATCGTTTTAACATTTGCATCAGCGAGTTGTACTGGTCTTTCATGATCTGTATCTCTTGCCGCAGCATAGCTAATTCGTTATCGCAGGGCTGCGATAATTCGTCTCCTGATCGGGAGTCTTCATCTGATTGGACTATCATCTCCTGTATCTGCCTTGACGCCGCCATAGCGACGTTACAGCGGGCCAACTCTCTACTGCTACCCTTGGGGGAGTCCTTGGGCACAAAAACAACTTGGGCGACTGGATCGTACACTCAACACACTGACTGATCGTAACACACATCGACACAGACTGCACCGAGGGAGGGGGGCGAGCGATGCTCTAGCTTCCACTGGTCCACTGGGAACTCGGTATTATATTATATACTATAACGAACGCGACTTAAATAATCTGGGTAAGCGACCAATCAGAGAACAGAAGCGATAAAGAGTGACAGGAAAACGGAGCCTACGGCCATCAAGTGTGATATTTCCTTTTCTTATATGTGATTGTGTGTTACACTTGTTCTCACTATCTAATGACACAATTAAAAAAACCAGCATTAATAACTTTCCCCCTCCTACAATAATTAAAACTTTTTAAAATAAAAAAAAAATCAATAAATAGATAAATAGTTCTAAGCTCTATATTTACCTTTGCCTGTTCCTATGGATTTCGTCCCTTTCGTTTTCTCCCTTCTAAAACTCGATAGAAGACTTTCCATTTTTTTTCACATCTGTTGCGGTGCACCCTATATTATTAGCAATTGCCACCCAAGCATCATGCTTCTTGACTTTATTATAATATCTCCCATTTGTCGGATCCCATAAAATAGGCTGCCTTTCAAACTCATCTATTAGCTCTAAACATTTTTCTCTGTTCCACTCCATAGTTTAAAAACTGATTATCCACTGAACACCGGCCGACGAATAAATTCTTTTGAGCAAATCCCGTTTACCGACAAGCTTCCGAAAATGTTTGGCGCGTTCGGTTCTGTTCCGCGCAACGTACTGACTATACAAACTTGTTACAGCGCGCGCGGCGCGTTTGGTTCGTTCGGAGTGTTTTGTTTCAAATGAATACCTACCTTAAGATCTTCTACAAATATTTTTCACAAATGCGATTTAAAATTTAATTAGCTTTGGTGCCTTTTTACTCTAGGAAACAAAACTTGAACAGTTAAACGCCATCGCTAAGGAGCCTATTTAAGAAATGTGTACTTACTTTTCAGCACTTCTGTGAAAATTATGCATCCTGTCTACTTCATCTTCAGTATCTCCACAAACTAAGCATCTTTTTATTTTTGTGTATAAATATAATCCCGCAATCTTGCCTTGAAAAAGCAGTCTTCGACTTCAAACATGTGTGTTCAAATAAAAAGTACACTTTTTGGGGTGATAAAACCAACCACACACTATTTCCACACTAATATGTTTTTAGATAAATCCGCAATTGCGCCCTCGGCAGACCTCTGATATTATCAACGATCTGTTGGAGAATACGGTGACATCTCTCCGTGTTCTGGCGTGTACCCAAATTAGGGAGCGCGTGAAAGCTCATAATATCTAACCTAACTTAACCTAACCCATCCATATTCTAAGACCCAAATATGTTTTCATTTCCGTTACGTTTGTTTCCTTCCATTGTTTGTATCTACTACTCCTTACAGTATTATTTTCCAAATACTTTTATTTCATTTGATATAAAAAGTTGATAGTCAATGGGACTTGCACTTTTTGGATCAAATGAAACATTTATTTTGCCTTGACCTGTGAAAGGAAACGTAAGTTGTGCATTTTTGCAGCAATTTTTTTACCGATGTTATCGTCATTCCTGTCACTCTTCAGACAAATTACTTTCATTTCGATCATCACTGTTGTTATCTTCGCCAGCTGTTTCCTCATTATATTCACTGGAATTAGCGGACTCTACTATTACTAGCTATGTATTCACTTCCGGAATCCTGGAATGGCTCTTCATCCGAACTGTCCCCTTTGGCTAATGCTAATTCTTCTAATTCTTGTTGATTTAACCTTTTTTCGGATTATCACAATCTAAAATACTCACTTGACGCCGTTTTGCATCCATTTTGTAATATTTATTATGCCAAACACAAAAAAAATATAGGAAAGCAAAGTGATTAGCTAGTGAGCAGTGTTAAGTGATTTAAGTGTCATCCTTTTTGGGTGGACAAAAATTACAAAAATTGGCTGATTTTGACAAATTTTGACTAAATACCGAGACCTTATTTAAGAATAAAAATGCAATTTTAGTCTCTAATACAATAGCTGATGCTACTATAAATAAATTATTAAACAGATTGTTGTCCACCCTTTTGGATTGACGTTAATAATTTATATTTGAAGTTTTCATGTCTACTCAGTCGTGTGGACGAAATTGTTATTTTGAGTTTTTTTAAAAATGGATCTGGCAGTCAACCTGTTTTTGGACACTTTTGTAAATTAAACAATTTTGGAAATTAAACAAATTTCTAAAATTTTTCTTACTAGTTTTCTCTGACAAACTGTTCAGAGTCAAGAACCAGTTGAAAATTAGCGATATTCGACTGACCGGCGCAAAAAAAAAATTTCTACTCCAAACCCTTTAATTTGTTATTAAAGGCTGTCGTACCTTAAGGTTTTATAAGACAAAAGGAGGTTCAGTATTTGCGGATGACCGGCCGGCAATATCTTTATTATTAAAAAATAAAAATCTCAACATTTTATGTAATTTCAATGTTGCTTTTTGCCTTGTAACCGAGTTATTTTTATGGTTATGCCGGGGTAAATGTGAGAAATTGAATAATCACTGGTTTATACTGAACACATGTAACAATTATTACAAAAATTGTACTATTTTAACTCAATTCTTATCATACATTAATAGCATGCATTTTTTACTAAATTTTAAAAAATTTAACCTATTTTAGTTCAATTTTTTTTAGGCAAATCGGATTTTCAAAATAATCCACAAGTTCCGAAAAACAGTCGCTGTTCTTAGTTTATTGGTTATTGGAACGTTTGTTTTTCTGTCATATACTGAAGTTGGAATTGATGGTCTGCACAGTACCCATCTACATGTTGGTAAGTTCACAATGTGTTTTGACATACCGTATTTTGACATAGAAAGACCCATGTTGTTTTTTGATCATATTGTATTATCTCCCCAATTAATTTTATGCAAAAGTTGTATTAACCTTCCGTCGGGCGCAGTCACCATATGCACCAGTTCAGGCGCAGTGTATCTGATAGAACCGAAATGAATAATTGCATAATTATCAGTAATTAGTTATTTTGTATGCCAATTTTCAACAAATTTGGCTAATCAATGAAAAAATAAAAATAAAAACTGATGAAATTAATCAGCGTTTATTAGTAATAAAATACATGCATATCAAAATTAAAAATATTCTTGTTGCATAACACGAAACTAATACTTAAAAATGTATAGTTTATGCAAAATAGTAATAAGTAGGTATTCTAACTATAAATAAGCAAATGTTATTCAAGTAACTGTTCGTTGGGCTGAATAGTAGTAGTCAAACAAGCTTCACATACATAATTTGCGTGTTGCAGACAGATCGATTTTTGACACTTTTTACACTGATATCTAGAGAGTCGTCTAAGTCCAGTTTCTGAGGTACATGGTGCACATCTTCTTTTTTTCGGTACTGCCTCAATCTCTTCTTGCTGGATTTCTGCCGACACATTGGGTCTGAATCTCTTTAGCCTTTCCTGTAGAACAAAAGGAATTCCTCTCGTTTTTTGACTTCTTCTAGTCAAATGTTCTAATACCAGTTCATGGGATAGCTTTTTCAAAAAAAGTCGCCTTCTAATTTCTTTGAAACCGTTCCCAAAGTAAACTATTTGGGAGTTGATTCCGCTCATATTTAGCATTGAGAAGAAAACTACCATTGGCCAACGTTTTACGTTTCTAGATACGTTGTACGATGCGCACATTTTATCGGCCGTATCTACTCCACCTTTTGTCTCATTGTAGAATGTTATAATGGATGGTTTCATTTGATTACCGGTGTTTGGATCAATTGATTTTTCATTGTGTAATGTAGAAACAAGAATAACAGTCTTCCCTTTTTTTGGAACATATGACATTAAAGTTGTGGAATCACTGAATCCAAAGTTGCTGGAATACTGTTGTCTCCCTACTGTTGAAACAAACTCAGGTGGTAAAGCTCTTTTGTTTTTCTTCACAGTACCAACAAATGATATTTTGTTTTGTCGTAGATATTCCACCAAGTCAAAATCAGTAAACCAGTTGTCAGCAGTTAGGTTTCGACCTGATCCTTTTATGGGATCTATCATCCGTTTGACAATATCTGCTGGTTTATTACTGACATTGAATGGGCCTTCAGGTTGTTTTCCAGCATAGATTTCTAAATTATATAAATAGCATAACTTAGCATCCATAAGAGCAAAAATCTTCAAACCATACTTCGCGGGTTTCGAGGGTATGTACTGGCGGAAAGAACATCGCCCACGAAAAGCTTCTAATTTTTCATCCAAGGTTACATTTTCTCCCAATGAATAATTCTTTTGGCAGTTTTCCACAAACTTTGTGAAAATGTCCCGCACAGCTGCCAGCCGGTATTCTTTTCTTTTTTTCTTTCCTCCCTTGTCAGGCGGTCGTCAAATCTTAGGCATCGAATTATAAATTTAAATCTTTTAATACTCATGACTAGTCCGAATTTCTCAACACCATCTCCATTTGTTCCCCAAAGTTCTTCCAAACTCTGCCTGTTGCTTTTATAGAGACTGCTGCTAAAAATAACAGCCCTATAAAGGCTTTTAGTTCAATCAAATCTATGAACCTTGCATCCCTTTCTCGTTCATAATTATCTTTTATAAAAGTTATGAATTGATTTGTGTTATTTGTTACATTTAAGAGGACTAGTCGCATTTCTCGCATTTTTTATGACGCCTGGTAGGTGCCTTATTATATTGTGAGCTTGAGCTCGAATTCTGTATGATTTAGGGTTAAAATGCCATTTTGTAACTTTATCTTTGCCAAAAAAATAACCACTTTCATTAAGTTTTATTTCCTCTTCATTCGAATCATCCTCTTGTTCAGTTTCAGAATCTTGCTTTCCAGGCTCTACGTGGTCTTCCCCATCACTGTCACTGTCTTCGTCAAAGTTTTCTTCAATTTCGTTGAACAATTAGAAGGAGGATTGATGGTTATATAACCACTGAATACAGTTACTGCAGGACACCGTATTGAAAATACTTGAATTGTGTAGCAGCTGATCATTAGAAGTAAGATTAGCATCCTCATGGTGATTTTTAAGATATAGTGATTGATATAGGGTCTAAAGATCGGAGTAGCTCGTTTACATGATCTTGATTCCCTAAATTATAGAATTTTCGTCTGCTAGACATGGTATTGCTTGAAATTAGAGAAAAATACGATATGGTAACTTATTCGGTCGCAGTGTATCCAACAGATCAACTTCTACAATAGTGCTAAATATGTGATATACCTAAATATATTTGTAAACATACAATAGAATAAATAACATACAATACTTACAATTTATAAAAAATGTAATATTTTCAACTAGTAAAGTGTAACGTAATCAGACGCAGTGTATCTAAGATATCACCACTGACTCATCGAAGGTTCTAACACAAACTGTCGTGAACGTATCGATAGCTAGCCTTGAAATACGAGGCTACCTAGGCGGTGGAGATTTTAACACTTAAGCCTGATGTACACCATGCAAAAGAGAGACTGCTGTATCTGCTAGAACAGCTGCGCCCGACGAAAGGTTGAGGGCAGTTTAGACTCTCAACAAGTAAACAGGAATCGTTATAATCCGGTCGAGATATTAAACCCCGCGAGTTTTTGGGGGACCTTTTTTATGACTGATTTATTTTTTGCATAGTAATTATTAAATTAAGCATGGAAGTCACTTTTTAAATTTTGACAAAAATGCTTGAATCTCCACAACTGTATATAAATTATTAGTAATTAAAGCGTAGACAGTAAGTAAAAATAAAAAATATATATATATTAATTTATACTACAGGACGATTCTAATTTAAAGTATTTTGTGATAAATATTAAAAAACTGTTGTTAAAAAATAAAATTTTCAAAATCTTTTATTTAAGGCAATAAAATCTACTTAAATATACAAAATTTAAGATACAATGTACTATTAAATAAAGAAACGTTAAAAAAGAAACAGCAAGTAAAAAACTAATAAAGAATCTCTTGTACTGTGAAAAATGTCTTTAATGTTATCAAAAAAACTCGCGAATCACATTTACCCCAACTTCTGCACGTGTCCGCTTGATATTCGCGGCCAAACCAACACTGAGGTGATTTCTTTGGATGTGTTCCACAAAATATTTGCCAGGGATAAGGGCCATTGTCTTTAAATCCCTCCACTACGTGACCTTTTTTTCCAAATATTTGTCTAAAACTTCACGAATGTCAATTCTTGCGAAAGGGAAGCCCCTGTTACTTACTGTTCTGAAAGTCTTGACTAACAACTCCTCCTCCTCGGGCGTAAAGGCAGTTGGGTGACCTGGGGGCATCCAGCTCGAGGAATCAGCTTTTAGTTAGCTCTTCATCATTCGTTTCTTCTTCGAATTCCTCCGACTCGAAATCGCTTAGGTCTTCTTCAAAATACTCGGTTTCTTCCGAAATGGATGAGTGTGGTGACTCAGCTTTTGACATTTTCAAATATGGTTTATTTGAAATTGCAACATGCGATTCAAAACGACAATTTGACTCGAAATACCAAATGTGTGGTACCAAATTATTCGTAAAAAATGCTTTTGGGTTAGGTTAGGTTAAAAGTTTATCCATGTTAACATTTTCCCCATGTAAATTAGCTCTCGTTTCGTCATAGATTTGACCTGCAGAACTGAACACTTGTTCACTAGGAACACTAGTGGGAGGAGCTGATAAATATTTAGTTGCTATTGGTCTTAAGTGAATATACGGACTGGAAGCCCAATACTCAAAAATGTCAGCGGTTCTAAGCAGCAAAATGTTCCTTCAAATAGCAAGTCAAATGTTCTTCAACACGTGGGAATCATCAGAATCTTCAAATGCAGTGACATTCAAATGCATTTTGTCGTGGGTATCCCATAAATCGTCGTTTGAGGAGTGGTTTGAGGTATTTCCATGAGAGGGGTCTGATAGGTTCTTCTGATATAGAGACTATATCTTCATTCTCGAGAATCTATAATAATCGTTGTCAGGAAGTATGTTTTTTATATATTTTTTTAAATGGTTGTATTTTTCCAAATTCTTACCGACATTTTGATCTGCAGTAAGTATTTTACACTTTGACATTAGATAATACTAATTTCATTCTCAACTTAAGAGTATTTCCGAACAATAGTGTATTGTTTTATTAGGAGTAAAAATTATACATTTTTGATGATGCTGTACCTTTGAAGGACCATCGTAAAGCTATTCCGATGTTACAAGGAAGCAAAAAAAGTACATTTTTACTCCTAATAGAACATACATACTATTTTTTTAAAACATTACAAATCATTTTTAATCAATTTCAAACATTGCAAATAATATAAACAGCAATCGAGCAACAATTTGTACGCTCGTTGAATTTGACACTTAATATTTTTTTTGTTTAATAGTATATTTTTGTACTTTTGTGCTTAGGCGTAACAGTGCTTTACTTTTATACCTAGGCGTTAAAATGACAAAAATTAATACTTTTGAGACGTCGAAAAAAAAATCCTTTTGATCTGAAGCGAGCGACTTTTTTGCGAAATATATTGGTGACCGATGTGAAAAAATGACAAAACGCACCCTAGAATTATTAATGTTATCGATAACGGGCAGAGTTATAAAGATTTAGCTATTTAGGATTTTAATTGGAAATAAGTCCTAGTCATTTGAAAATCCAATTTAAATATTGTTTTGAATTAAAATCAAAAAAATCTGATTTATATAAAAAAAATCTGATTTAAATCAAATAAATCAGATTTTCTTGATTTTTTTCAAAAAATCATGATTTTTTCCAACCCTAATTTGAATTATCAGATTCCCTGGAACAAAGTCACAGAAAAGCTGGTGCATTCCCAG